CGTGGGCGCGCCTCGGGCCCCGCCCCCTCCGTGACTCGCGGCGGCGGGATTGCTGAGGGTTTCTTTGGGGGCGAGGGGGGGGCAGATTGAGCGCGAGCGGGGCGGGACCCACAGCCGGCCCCACCCTGCGGACGGACGCCGGCGGCTGGCAGCGACCCCGAAGGCGCCGAGGGCGAGCATCACGTGGGCCAAGTGACCGGTCACGTCGTGACAGCCGACAGCTCCGGGTCACGGATGATTTTTATTCTAAAAATCTAAAGTACTGGTGTCTGTTTTCAAAGACGTTCCCACACGGATGTCTTTTTTTTTCTAGTTATTACTTTTTTAAGCCAGAGTTTCTTCATGAAGTACACATAATCCTGAAATTTGTAAATATATACATATATATTTTTTTCTAAAACACATAAGGGTGTGGAAGGTGTAAAGAAATAGATTGTTAAAAAGCTCTGGTGAAGCCATCTATGAATCTCAAGGTGTCTTGGTAATTGCTACCGAGTTGGCTTTCTTTTCGAAGTTTGGCTTTGGGGACAGTGTCCATTAGAACGAATGGTATTGTATTGTGTGTAAAGAAATGGAAAGACCTGGAAAAAATACTAAATGAAATCAGACCCAGAGAGAGACAAAGGTTACTTGTTTCCCCTCATGCATGGAAGTTAGCATTAGCTTATACACGTGTAAATAAAAGTGTTGTGTGGTACGCAAATAGATACAAATGTATTAAATATGGTAGATTCAAGAGAGAACTCAAATAGTGTAATTCCTTAGAAAAGCAAGGGCAGAGTTCAACAAAATTAGCACCAGAAAGCAGGTACTTGAAAGGGGTAGAAGAGGGTCAAGGAGAGAGGGGTTCAGGAATGAAGAGGAGAAGAGGGAAAGAATGCAGTCAAGAATCCATTGTATACCCTATAAAATTAAGAAACGCAAAAGGAGTGGTTTGGGAGAGATAGGTGAGAATGTTGAAAGTGGTGACATTGCCGGGCATGGGGGCTCATGCCTGTAATCCTAGCTACTTAGGAAAGCCAACCTATGCAGGAAAGTCTATGAGACTCCTGTCTCTAGTTAACCACCAGAAAACCAGAAGTGGCTCGAA